AAATGCTATTTTTTAAATCAATCTAATGTTCCAATGTTTCACATTTAGGAATATAACCTAAGGAAATAGACTAACATGAAATCACTAATTTATGTGTAACAATTCATTTTTCACAGCAGTAAAGAATTAGAAACAACTTACGAGATAAAAAATTTTGTTACATTCATATAATAGTATATAATACAGCCAATAGCTAACAACATCAAAAACAAAATTATGACATAAAAATATTTAATGACATAAGAAAAATTGTTATATAAAACTAGTTATAAATTATTCAAATTGTTTTTAAAATATGTATAATATATGTGTATGTACATGTATCTATAGAACTCTGGTGGCCTAATGGTAAGAAGCTATGATGCAATCCCAAAGGCACACAGCCTGAATCCACCAGCTACTCCGCAGAAGGAAGAGCAATCTCCTCTTGTGAGATTTACCGCCTCTGATCACCAGTCAGTCCGACAGTGAGCAATGGATTGGTTCTGACTTGACAGCACACACAACACGGTGTGTATGTGTACACATATATATATATATGTGTGTGTGTGTATATATATATATGTATGTATGTGTGTATATATATATGTATGAATGTGTGTATATATATATGAAGTAAATTTACATGTAAATATATATGTATATATAAAATGTAAATTTACATGTACTATATATATATAACATGTAAAAAAGTAGGAGACACACAGAAGTGAAAGATAAACTTCAAAACAGCACGTGAGTATTATTATCTAGTAGGTGGTATAATTTTTTTCCCTATTTTTGATTTTGTATTTTCCATTACAGTAAGCATGAAATATTTTCACAAACAGGAAACGCAACCTATTAGTATTTAAATACTTTAGTATGTTGTTTTATTATTATGTACCGTTGAATCAGAAGCAATCCACAGCTGACCCACCAGCACGTTTTCAGAGGCTGTAAATCACACAGGAAATTATCCATCTTCCTCTCATAAATTAAAATTGGTGGATTCGAACTGCATGTCTTTGGGTTAGCAGGGCAACTCCTGACAATTAATGTACTGACAATAATAAGTTTAAATGTAGATACATACGTTCAAGTTGAGAATCCAATCTGGATAAGAATTTGATGTTAAAAATTGCTTTCAGCAGATCTTCTGGAAAATATTCCAGGGTGGCCAAAGAATAACCAATAAACACCAATATGAGAGGATCCAAGATGCCTAAAACAAGATTAGATGTTTCATAAAAAAAAATTATAGCGCCTATCACCTCATATATATTAACAGACACTTTATTTATGATAAAACAAAGTTGCTGTTTTTGAAATTGATGTAAAAAATCATGACAGCCAATCTATGCTGTAACAAGTCAGGATAAGGACTCCTTTACATAAAAGTAGAATCTCAGCTCTCTCATTACCATCAAATTAGAACTAACTCAGAGGAAATTACTTATCTTTCTCCCTGAGAACCACTGGTAGATCTGAACCATCTATGGGTTGGCAGTGTAACTCCTTAACCAGTAGGGCAGAAGAGTGACTGTAAAAGGGGCTCAGAGGAAAAGGGTAATGATCCTTCTTGATCTGGGTACTGATTCCACAGGTGAATTCCATTTATATAAATACTTCTGAATATAAATACTTGCATTTACATAAATACAAAACACTTCTGAAATGTGAACACTTCTGTATTATTATACTTCAGTAAAAATCTAAGTTGTCTTGAAAAGAGAAAGGGTTCATACATAAAAACCCTCCAGTACTGCTAAATTTTTATTATTACACTGTGCACCAAGGCAGGAGCATCAGAAAGAAAGAAGTAAGTGACGGAAGGATGGAAGCACTCTAGAAGAACTGAGTGCCAGAGATCAATTTCATATAACCACATATTATCACTATCACTGACACATCAATCTTGCATGAAAAGGGTGGAAGCATGCATAGAATGAACGCATTCATGATAGAACTCCATAGTTCGACCAAATAGATTTTTCTTCTTAAGCAATGTGGACACACCTGATGAAAAAATGCATGAAGACATCCAAATTTTAGTGCAGGTGTATCCCAATGATTCAAATATAAACCTTATAGAGAAGTGCAACAATTTAACTCTTACATGAGAACTAAGCTTACAGATTTAGGAAAGATAAATTTTATTCATGTGGCCATGTATGGCTCTATACTAGACAATAAAGCACAATGTTCATTTCTCAATGTTGAAATTACATGACATATATTCCTAACTTTGATGATAACAAACAACACAACAGAATGGCATTTTCTTCCTTCAAGAAATTAAAAAACCTTGGAGTATATAACAATGACTTAAGAAAGACTTGATTCATTATTGTTACGTTTGCATGGAAATAGATATTGTTCTACAGCTTAATTGTGATGAGATAATTGAAATATATCAGAGTAGAGAAAAAAATTATTTTAATTATAAAATGTTAGAGATCAAAGGACTATCTAAAAAAACTGTAATAAATTGTTATTTTTAAAAATCAAAATAGAATACAAAACAAAAGGACAGTGATATATATGTAGAAAATAGAAATAATCTGGGTACTGGTGATAGTAAGTGTTTAGCAGGAGTTGCACACTATTCTAACCAGTTTCATCTCATTTCAGACATAATTGCTATTGTTGTTGTATAGTGTAGAGTCAAAATCAACCCACAGGTAACCTTCCAACTGTTTTCACAGGCAGTAAATCACATGGAAGGAGCCTAAACATCTTTCTGCCCCATAACAGCTATTCGATTCAAAATGCATGCCGTCAGGCTGGCAGTGCAGCTTCTTAGCACTAAGCCACCAGAACCCCATAGGAAGCACAACAGGAATGTTTATTATCTCTGCTTTATTGATGAGTATACTTGGGCAGAGAAGTTAAATGGCTTGCGCATGATTATATAGTAAATGGCAGGTGGGTTTCAACCCAGAGTCCAGCTCTGAAAGCTGAACTTCTATAGAATGCTGCTCTTGGGGGATCTCAGATGGCCAGGCTGAGTGGACATAAACATAAGGTTCAGGCCTAGCCTCTTCTTCCATTGCCTGTCACTCAGCAGCATAGTAGATGTTCCACAGCAGAAGGTTGGACATTATTAATCTTAAAGAGACATTTCTGACAAAGGGAAGAGAGTAATCTAAAATACCTTAGAACTAACATTCTTATAACAAATACGTAACAATATATCTTTACTTTTGGGGTTTTTGTTTTGGCTGAATAAAATTTACTTGATTTCTATCTTTTTACTAAAGTAAAAGCAAGTCGTAAGACATACTTTTACTTCCTTTTGGTGGCTGATACACTGCTCAAAACCAGAAGAGCACAGTCTCAATTTCAAGGCTCCTCCTTGTACAGACATGCAAACACATACGCATTCCAGTCCTTTTTAGTCATTCTGAAGCAGAGAAGTTTCAGGCATGGTTAGTAGCTATCATCAGGTCTACAGATCTTCCCAAAATGTGGCAAACTCCATTACTTCTAAAATAATTAAAAATGAGGGTCATAATATTTAGAACTTAAAATGAAACAGCTCAGAAAAAATTTAGACCAAGAGAAAAGAAAGGAAACAAGACAAAAATGGTAATAATCATTGAATCTACAAAGTATATGGTGTCCCTTGCTCTATTCTTTCCATTTTTCTGTAAGTTTGACATTTCCCATAATAAAAAACTTCGAAAATGAGTAGAAAGTTTTATTTTTAGGTACAAAATCATACTCTGTTGTTGTTATGTGCTGTCAAATTGACAATGACTCAGGGACCCCATGAACAAAAATCCTGCACCATTCTCATGATCTCTGACATGCTTGAGCCCAGTCACTATGCCAGTTCAGTTCACTGAGGGTTTTCCTCTCTTTCTCTGACCTTCCACCTTCCCCATCATGATGTCTTTTTACAAGGACTCGTAGCCTCCTGACAACATGCCTAAAGTATGTGAGACAAAGTTTCCCCATCTTTGTCTCTACATGGTATTAGTTATCATTTAATTAGGGGATATCCTTAGCCCGACACAACAATTCAATATATTATTATGTAATATACCTACTTAGGTAAGAATTAATATGTTGAACACAAGTTCCCAAGAATTCATCCCTCTGAGGTGGATTATAGTTCAGGGTGCTGAACGGAAGAATAATAGCAAAGATTGAAAAAGGGTGGATCTGTACAAACAGAAAAAAAAATGTTTATAGGTTACATTTTAATAATAAAACAAAATTTGAATAGTTACTATTTCAGGTAGAAATCTTTTTCTCCCCCATTATTCCCTCAATCATTAAATACTTAATAGCTGCCAAGAACTATGCTAAGGAAATGAGATCAACTATTATTTTAATTTGTAAGAAAATACTGGTTTTTTTAAAATTTTTTTTAGAAAATACTGTCTTATAACTAAAAGTCTAAACCTGATATATACAACAGAAAATTTACAGTTGAACTGCTTCTCAAATAATGCCAAAATGCAACCTTCACAAGTACAATCCTGAAAAAAAAAATCATAAGATGCACTGGCAATTCAAAACTATTAACTAGTAGAGTTAGTGAATATCTTATAATTTGCTCAATTATACTTTCTTACACTCAAATATAATTATTTTTAAATCATTAACATCACATGAGCAATCAACGATTTGTTTCACAGTCAGCACTTTGCCTGGTTTTGATTGCTGATATTGAGCTTCTCCAACATTTCTTTCAACACATAGTCAATCTGACACTTGAGCAATCAGTACATCAGGTGAAGTCAGTATATAATTTCTGTTTATGGTGTTTTTTAAAAAAAGTATTTGTAACACATTGTACAAAATTCAACCATCTATCTCCAGCTTCGTTTCTATCACCAAGCCCATAATTTTTAACTACTATTCCTTCTTTATTGTATTTTTGCATCCCTATCCCCAATTTTCATCACTGAATCTTTTTTTTTCATCATTACTGTAACTTGATTGCATGTTTTACCAATATCATACTGCAGGAGTTGGTAAAAATCCTCAACTTCTTCATCTTTGCCTGTGGCTGTTGGCACATATTTTGAATGATAGCTGTATTAATCCATTTTCATTGTATGCATGCAGAAAGTGTCCTATCACTAACAACATTTTTTTCAATATACTGAAACGGTCTCTTTCACTATGAATGCAGCACATTGTTCCTCAATTTTTCATTTCCAATATAGTAGATCACACGATCATCTGACTCGAAGTGGACAATGCCAGTCTACTTCAGCTCACTAATGTCTAGAATGTCAAAATGGAACTGGTAATAAACACAAGAAGGAAGTAAAAGAAGCTATCAAAGTGTAGGAATTGCAATCAGTATGACCCAGCAAAATGTATATGAATGGTTGACTAGAATACCAATTCACTTTGTAAATTTTCACTCAAATCACAATAAAAATTATAAAATATATCTTACATAAAAAAAATTATATTCCAAGTTCTCAAGGTATTAATAACAAAAAAAAAACCCTTTATACTTCTAGAAGTTGTCAATCATACAAAACTAATTTGTAACATTTAATTTTTACCTTTTCAATCTGCTGAATGGTCACTGAGGCTATTTTATCAAGCAGCAAAGTACTGAGGTAGCTATTTTTGGAAATAAAAGCTGCAATTTCTGCAATATTTGTGAAATTAATTTCATCAATCATCCGCTGTAGAGTAGCAATTGCATCTTCAAGCAGTGATTCAACAAACCAGTCTCCATTTAAAAGTTTAAGTTCCTCCCACAACACATTCAAACTGTTGCTTTCTTGAAGCCTCTGGCGTCCATACTGATCTAATTTCTGAAGGAGTTTCAGTTGTTTTCCAGAAATATTATCCAAATACGCATGATATGGAATCAATCTTAAAACAGATGTGCCAAAGCTATTCAGAGAAATGAGGTCACACTGTGGTAAAACAGCTTCAATTTGAGATACCCTTGCTTCATCTAGGTGAGGAGAAGGCAGCATGGAAATGATATTGACCAAGATGGAAATCTCAGAAGGCAGGACACTAGTCTTCAATTTGCTAAAAAGAAAAGGAGAGAACAAAATTCATTGATTGTCAACAAAAACAATTAAAATGCAAATTTATTATTATTATTATTATTATTACTACTACTACTACAACCAATAAGACAAGATAAAAAGACAAACTGATAAAAAGATGGTTAAAGTCAAAGACAATGGGTCTTTAATAGGTCAGTAAAGAGAGTTGAAATGTTCAGAATCAGACCTCACATTTTCTACAGAAAAAGAAACATTAACTCTGGGATAATAAAAGGTAGTGCCAGAACAGTTTATCCACTGTTACTGCTGTAGAAACAATCTGACCTGAATTTCTGATGTGGTACAAGAAGAGGTGGAACGACTCAGCATACAATGAACACTCCAGCAATGCTGGTTCCCTTCTAATTTCTGTTACACAGGCAGTCTAACCTTATTAAACACTCAGAACCTATAATTGATCTTATTCTCTAATCCTTTCCTAAACTTCTCTGGCAAAAGCCCGAAGACCAGTTGTCAAAAAGTAAATTAAAAAATGATGAATTTTTGAAGAATCTTTACATTCAGAAGTGAAAGAGATAATAAAATCAAAATGAAAAGTGACTTCTCTTCTTTTAATTTCTTGTTGTTACATGCCCTTAGTCAGAACTGCTTCATAGCTTACCCTCCAGAGAGTCTTCAGAGGCTGTAAATTACACATGAGGAGAGTGTCCATCTTTCCCTCACAGAGCAGCTGGTGGATTCAAACTGCATGCCTTTTAGTTGGCAGTGCAATTCCTTATCACTAGGCGACCAGAGCACTCATTTTACATTGGTATAGTAAAAACAAACATAATATTCAACTCTAGCTAAGGAATATGGATACAAGCACTCACATGTACTATTAGGAAAATTTAAAAAAGACTATCACCTTTCAGGAAAGCAATTTAGCAGTAGGACTAAAAATATATCAATTGACATAGTTAATTACTGCATAGGAAATTAGCCTAAGAAAATCAAGTGTGGACAAAGACTTGTATACACTGTTTATCTTGTTTTGGGGGGGTTTCCTTTTAATTTTTTTTATTTTATTATTTTTTGTGTGTGTACCGTCAAATCAGATCTTACTGGTACAGGAGATGATGGTCTCTCCTCCACCAGATCATCTTGTGGACTCGAACCTTGCACCTCTGGGACTGCAGTGTACCTTCCTGACATTAGGCCACCAGAGCTCTCCTGTTTCTCTTGTTTTTAAAAATATGTTGTTGTTCTTCAGATTAGAAGTGATATATGATTGAGTATTATGGTTAGCACAGGAATCCAGAATTAAGGTTGCATAGAGAAGTGTAC